TCCTCGCTCTATCCTCCAAGTGTCTCTGGGAAGGTTCCGTCTCTTTGTCCTGCCTCCTGGGTAGATTCTTTTGGGCTATATTCCAACTCACTAACCCTCTCTTCACCTGTGTTAGATCTGCAGAAATTCTCCCCCAATTAGCCTGCAATAACTCGGAATACACACCCTTTGGGACGCTGCCTTCCCTCGGGTGTGAATTAAAATGTTGGCTGCATTTTGCAGAATGTTGATGCTCCAAAAATATATCTGAATATGCCTGTACCTGCAGTGCAGTAAAGATTCCATGGAACCCCGGAATTTGTGACATGTTGTCACTTAGGTTTCAATTAGCAAAATAAACAGCGCAGCCCGGAGGGAAACATCCAGAAATGTGATCTTGACAACCACGTTCTTTCGTGTGTCTAGAATTTACAATTTATTCTTTCACTCACTGATTCTTGTTACATGTTTCTTGCCCTTGTTTTTAGTGTTTTCTTTTACTTCTCCAAACATACTCGGATTCGTTTCTGCATCAGCCGGGTTATTGCTTCCTCACAAACTGCCCTGGTGCTCGGGGGTCAAAGTAACGTTCGTCTGTTGGGACGCGCACACAGGCGCACAGCCACGGCCAAGTCGGCCCGCCCAGGCTGGACTCTGTTCAGCCCCTACAAGGACCAGCAGGCGGGCCTGGGCAGAGTGGAGGAGGACGGCTTGAAGCCCCCAGGCCCCCTAGGGCCTGGGCTCAGGACCGGAGTAGGCATCCTTTCCACCACATTCTGTTGGCCCAAGCAAGCCACGGGGCCAGCCCACAGACAGGGAGAAAACGTCCTCCGGCAACAGCATGGGGGCAGAGAGGAGTCGAGATTGGGGGCCCGTGATGCCCCAGACATTTGGGATCGGAGAGTCCCAGAATACAAAATCCTTGGGGTTCACGGTTCTGCCACGTGCTGGTCACCCCCGTGGAAGCTTCTCGCCGTGTTAGGGTGAATCCGTGCTCGCACTGGCTTTACCTGTGGGGACCTTGTGTCTCTTGGGCCGAGAAGTTTCCCTCCAGAGAAGGCTTGTTGTTTGTTTCCATCAGGCACCTGGGGAGGCCACCTGCTTAAAACGCACGTCTCAGCTTGAGGTTTCCTTGGCCACACGGTCAAGCTCGTACGCGCACCTGCCTGACGACCAGCCCGTGCTCATTCTCCAGGGAGGAAGGGTGTTTTCCACCCTCTGAGATTTCTGTGGCCTTTTTTCCCAGAGAGAGAGAGACACAGGACGTGGCGACAGACAGAGAGAGGGAATATAAATCCTTCAAATCAAGGCCAACCTGTATTATTTCTTTTAATGTTTATTTTGTGAGGGCGAGAGGGTGGGGGAGGGGCAGAGAGAGAGGCAGGAGGAGGACGGAGGATCTGGAACAGGCTCTGTGCTCTCAGCACAGATGCGGGGCTCGAACTCACGAGCCGCGAGATCATGACGTGAGCCGAAGTCGGACGCTTAACCGACCGAGCCACCCAGGCGCCCCATTTGCCAATGACTGTTAAGTAGGTCTACACTTTCTCCAGATTTCCTCTGTTCCTCCCTCATGTCCTGTTCTGTCCCAGGATCCTACGGGATGCCACGGAGCATTATTCATCAAATCTCCGTAGGCGACTCTCGGCTGTGATGGTTTCTCAGACTTCCCTTGTTTTTATGATCTGGACAGTTTTGAGGTGTCCTGGCCCCATATTTTGTAGAACGTCTCTCAGGCGGGACTTGTCACATGTTTTTCTCATGGTTGGATGTGTTGTGGGGAGGGAGGCCCGTAAACGAAGGGTACGTACTTATAATGACTCGTCACTGTCGTTGACCGTGACCACGTGGCTCCGGCATATAACGTTCGTCGGCTTTCTCCACCATAAAGTTACCTTTCCCCTCGCTTTCCATACTGTCCCCTTGGAAGGGAAGCCACCGTGGACAGCTCACGCCCAAGGGGTGGGGGGAGTTGGAATCCACATCTCTCCGGGCAGAGCACCTCCATCAACGATTTGGAGTTCTTCTATATGGGGGGTTTTTTCTATTTCCCCCATTTATGTATTTACTCGGTGATGTATTTACGTCGGCATGGACTCGTGGATGTGAATTTTATACTTTGGACTAGGGTCCAGAACTAGTTTATTGTGTTCAAATCGCCCCAGCTTTGACCTTGGGGGCTCTGCCGTGGCTTTGGTGCTCCTCTGACAATCCCCCATCACTGTGGCTTTGGGACTCTGGAGGGGAGGGGAGCACTTCCTTCCTTTCTAGCCTTGTGAGATGTTCCAGGCCCGTTTTGTATCTTTTCTGCCCCCGGTTAGAGAACCCAGCGTTTCTCCAAGGACCCCTGGCTCCCTTCACGGGGAGACGGTGTCAGAAGCCACGCTCGGGTTCCTAGATGTGATAATTGCTGGCGGGTCACTGCTTCCGGCCGCTCTCAGCCGAGGGCGTGCTCAGCCCCGTGTGTGCACCATCTGTGTCTATGTCGGGCTAAATACGAGCTTCCTTCCAGCCCCCTGCCCTTGCCGACCTGCCCTCCCCCTGCAGCGGTGAGGAGTCTGGACTCCCGCCCTCCCCTGCTTACTTAATCCCAATCGTGGTCTCAGAACTGCCAACCTGCATTCCCGTGGGGACCAATTTCACCGACTACACCGCCGCGCCGACGGTCAGCTCCTTTTGCCTTTTTTGGTTTATTTTTGAGAGAGAGAGAGACAAAGCACAAGCTAGGGAGGGGCAGAGAGAGAGGGAGACACAGAATCCGACGCACGCTCCAGGCTCCGAGCTGTCGGCACAGAGCCCGACACGGAGCTCCACCCCCACAAACCACGAGATCGTGACCTGAGCCGAAGTGGGACACTTCACCGACTGAGCCACCCAGGCGCCCCTCGCTTATTTCTTTTCATTGCTTCATAATAATTCCACCATGTGGCTGTAATACGGTTTATTTCTTCGTGGCTCTGTGGCAGGACACCATGGTTGCAGAACCACAAACAAAAACACCCACCGCACCTGCTATAAAATTCACAGTCCGGCTTCCGTGTGGACGTGGGTTTTCCAACCACCTGGGGAAACACGCAGGAGTGGAATTGCGGGGTCACCTTGTAAGGCCGCGTTTGGCTCTGTAAGAAGTTGCCAAGCCGGCTTTCGAGGTGGCTGCCCCACCGGGGTTTCTGCGGGCTCTCCTCTGCTCTGTTCTGTGTGTTTTGTGTCTCTCCCCTGTGCGTTGGCCTGGATAACTTCCGTTGACACAGATTCCTTCCAGTGCAGACTCAGCTTGTCGTGAAGCCCACAAAACAGATTCTTCGCTTCGGTTCTTTCCGACCGTGTCCGTGTATTTGGCGATGCGCACCGCGTATCTGTCGACACGTTTCCCGTCTTTTGTACCAGATCCTTTAATCTCATCCTAATCGCTGAAGACTCTGTCCGCTAACTCTGACAGCTGCTCCCCGGGTCCACTTCTTTGGACTCTGTTGGGTTTTTCTCGATGATGGGCCACGTTGGCCTGTATCTTCACGCACGGGGATTTCTCGCCGCTTTCCTGCCCCGCCCGTGCCCTCGGGGAGGCCCCGGAACAAGGACCTGGCCCGTGGGGGAGCGGTGTGGGACCCCGTCCCTCACACCAGCCCCAATGCTGGTGGCCTTACTGGCTCCTCCAGCCCGAAGCCCCCTTTGTGCAAGACCACCTTCCTCGAGCCGTGGCTCCCAAGGCGGTCACAGGTCCCTGTTGTCCAGGGAGGGCACATGCCTTTCTGGAATTTGGTTCTGCGGGTTTCCTGTCCGCAGCTCTCGGGTGGGTGTTTACAGACTCCCGAGACTCCTTCTCCCGGCCAGGGAGGGAACCACAGTCGCTTTCAACTTTCCGCATCCTCATCAGAAGCAAAAATCCCTTCTCCTCCTCGTCATGTCTTTGGCCAGAACTCAGATGGCCTTGTCCACTGTCACTGAGTGTCACTGAGGGCGTGGCCCTTTGGGGTCCGAGGTCCGGCTCTTGTCCCAAGGGTCTGGGTTAACGACCCTGACAGACCCCCTGGGGCAGCCATGCCTTCGTGCCCTCTCGGCACTGCATTTTTGCTTCTGATCGGCATCGCTGTCCTGTCCCCACAGGCCGGGGCTCCCTGAGGCAGGGCCCGTGCCGGACTCGTATCTGAACGCTCAGGGCCCGGCACCGGGGCAGGCTTGTCACAGTCGGCAAAGGTTGGACTCATGGGTGCACAAACGGTGGGCACAAAGAGCGGCAGCCACAGGTGGGGGCAGAAACGCCCCCAACCCCACACTTCATAAGCGGGTCTTCCCATGGCCAGGGCCCCAGGGAGCACCCAACGCTCCGGGAGCTTTCTGCACCCTCTGCGGCCTCTGACCTGTGTGAGGTCCCTCTTTCCCGCCAGGTCTCTGTGCGCCTCCGTAGTGGGGACACTGGGCCACAAGCCAGGTCTGTAGGGGGCCAGGCCCAGCAGGCCTTCTCCCTGCACCTCGCCCCTGCCCCACCCCCTTCTGGGCAGGGTCCCCACCCTCCCGGAAGCTCCCCATGCTGACCAGGTGATGCCCCTGCCCTGTGCAGTGGACGGATGCAGGGAAGGCGGCCAGTGAGTCAGACAGTGAAAGTGGCCTCCCGTCCCCCTACACAAACCTATTGTTCCTGCCTCGGTTGGACCCCAGGAGCTGCCCACCTTGCGTGGGTGCGGCCCATGACCTTGAGATCGAAGAGGAAGGTCAAAGGAGACTTCCCTGAGGGGAAAGAATGCGGACTTCCCCGACTCAGGAGCCCTCTGGACCCTGGCAGATGGGGGTGGGTCTGGAGAGTGGGGGTGGGCAAGCCAGGGGAGCCCCCTCGCCTTCCCCCTCCCCGCCGAGGTAAGTTCCGCTGGGCTCCCCGGTGACCCGGCCTGGCTGTGGGGAGGCAGGCAGCCCCCCGGAGAGCCCTGGACCCCAGCACTGCAGGGAAATGGCAAGGCTGCCCCCGGCAAGCCCCGAGGCGCCCCAGCAGGGGGAGGCAGGGGGCTGAGTGCTGTGTTTCTCCCCAGGGAAGCAGCCGCCGCCCTTTCCTAGCCGGCTGTGCTTCTCAGAGGACGAGAAGACCCTTGTAAGACGAAAACCCCGAGGTAGCTTTGCCTTCCCTTGCAAAACATGGCCCAAGCAGGTGGGCTGGAGACGGGGCCCCCGGTGGGTGGGGTGCGGCAGGGGCGCGGGGCCCCGCCCAGGGCCCCCAGAGGCCCGCGGAAAGCCAGGGCAGCGGCAGGGACACAGCACGTGCTACAGGCAGGGTGTTCCCTGCTCCCCGGCTTGGGGCGCCGTCCCTCAGACCGGGCAGGTGCACACCTATACAACCAGCTGGGGCCCGGCAGGGGGGTCAGGGGGGCAGCAGTGTGCAGAGACCAGCAGCACGGGCACCCTGCCTGGAGGAGGTGACCCTGACAGGGGCAAGAGCCGGCTGGCAGAGAGGCAGGAAGGCAGAACCACCAGCTTCAGTCCTGGGGACCCGGGGGCCCTGGGGGTCAGTGGAGGCAGAGGGTGCGTCCGTGGAAGAGGCTCCCGGGTTACGGAAGCGTTCAAGCCGGCGTGGGGCTCGCCCTCACGTAAGCCCTAGCCCTGGGCCACCTGGGGAGGACCCCAGGTTGGACTGCCCCCGGGGGCTGGGGGCGGTTTGAGGCCTGGCCCTGCCCGCCCCAGCAGACGCACCTCACCTGTGCCCCATCCCACTCTGCCTCCCCACTCGCTCACGCCGCGTCTTGCCCACAGCCATCCAACGGCCCCAGGTGATGGGTGAAATCTGCACCACCCCTGGCTGCGTGATAGCAGGTAAGCCCCTTCCCCACACCTCCCAGAGCCCTGCCCCGGGGCGCAGGGCCTCCCAAGGCCAAGGGGAGCCACCTCCAGACAGGGCATGGGGGCCAGTGGGCAGTCCCTGGCCCCGCCTGCAGGCGGGGTCTCTGCAGTGGGTGAGGAAAGCGGGTCTGCTCCCTCTTCCCAGCCCTGTGCCCCCAGGAAGAGGTCCCTGCGCCCACAAGGCCCCTGTGATGGGGAGGAAGGTAGTTCGGGGACAGGGGCTCTTTCCTGCAGGTACAGAGAGAAAGATCACATGAACATACAAGCTTCCTCCCACGAATTTGTCTAAAAATTGGGGATCATATGCTGCCATTCGCAGACTGAAAACAGAACGGTCTGAAGAAACATCAGGAAAAATCTCAGACCTGAGATTTTCCTGCCCACGCTGGGGTCGCGGACGAGCGTCCGTGGTCGGTGCTTCCCGCGAGGCCCCGGCCAAGTGGGACAGAGGGCAAGGGAGGGTCCCGGGCTGGGGGTTCCAAGTGGGGAATCCAACTGAGAGCCTTCGGCCGGGGACCCCCGACCAGTGACGCGGCACATTCTGGTGCTGGGGTGACACCGTCTCCTCTAACAGCACACAGGCTCCCTGTGGCGGCCCAGAGCACCCCCACCCCCACCCCCGCTGCAGACACTCTGACGAGTGAGGGGGCTCCAGGGGCAGCAGACCGCCTCCTGGGAGCCGGGCAGTCCTGGCCGTTGCCCCAGCGCCGGACCGTGGGTGTCCTGGCAGAGGTCACGGGATCCCAGGTCATGTGGCTAATAAGTCATAGCCCTAGAACTTGAATTCCTGCTTCCGACCTCGCTGAGGCTCAGAGAGGGTGACTCACGCTGCCGAGGGCACACAGCCACGATGGAATGTCGAACGGTCCGCGGCCACCCGCGACTGGGTCCCCCCTCTCCCCCCACCACCCCTGTGGCCGAGCAGCCGCCAGGATCCTCCGGAACATGGACCCGTCCGGGGAACCGTGTGACGACTTCTACCAGTACGCGTGCGGAGGCTGGCTGCAGCATCACGTGATCCCCGAGACCAACTCCCGGTACAGCGTCTTTGACGTCCTTCGAGACGAGCTGGAGATCATCCTCAAAGGTGAGAGCCGCCGTGACCTTGGGGGTGGAGCTGGGCAAGGCCGTACGTCTGCCCCACTCGAGGGTGGCCGTGGGGCCCGCAGAGAAGAAACCCCCTGGAATAAAGGCCCCGCAGGGGCAGAGGGGCCTCCTCTCACTAAAGAGGGACGGGTGACACCAGGACCTTTGACCTGGCTCTCCCGGCGGCCGCCTCAGGCCTCTGTCCAGCCCCCTCCTCTGCCCACAGGAGTGCTGGAGAACTCCACCGCCAAGGACAGGCCGGCTGTGCAGAAAGCCAAGATGCTGTACCGCTCCTGCATGAACGAGAGTGAGCGGGGGGTCCGGGACCCCACAGTCCCCGCAGCAGTGCGTGGCAGCTGGACGCCACTCAGGACTCACGGCCACGGGGGCTGTGCCCCCACCTGGCCGCCGGTCCCAGGCTCCCCCGGGGGCAGGGACTTACTGCCAGCTGCCCGTGATCCTGTTTATACCCTGACCCCAGACCGGGCCACACCGTCCGGGCAGAAGGACACCGCTGAGGGGCACACCTGGAAGTCCCAGGGAAGGCGCACACGTGTGTGTGTCTGTGTCCGCGTGTGTCTGTGTGTGTGTCCGCCCATGTGTGTCCACGAGTGTCCACACGTGTACCCGGGTGCTGCTATGGGACTGGCCTGTGCTCCGGCTCCTAGGAATGGCTCCCCCACACCCTGCGCCCCTCTGGCCCATCTCCCCTCGTGTCCCTGCCTGGGGGTCTGCAAGCCCAGCTTGGGGTGTCGGCTGCTCTGTGGGGAGCACCCCCCCCCCCCGCTTAGTACCGAGGGCTCACTGTTCTGTCCCCGCATCCGACTCCGGAGCAGCCAAAGGAAGCCGCCAGCTTCTGGCTCGTGCCTCCCGAAACCACGGCCCCCATCTGGGCTCGCCCGGAACCTTCCCTCTTTCCACCATGAGGCTCCCCCGTGCCCCTGCCTCCCTGTGAGTCTCCGCCAAACCGAGTGACCTGGCGCCCTGCCACCGGACCCTCACCTTCACCTTTCATGTGACCCCAGTTCCCCAGCTCCCTGCCGGACCTCCGCTGCCCTGCGCAAGTTGTCCACGTCCAGTCCAGAGTGTTCGGCCGGCCACGGTGCTGGCGGCCCCCACCCGTGCAGCACCCCCGGGCCGCAGGGCCTCCCTCGGCCTGGCTCCCCCACCACCCGGTCGCCTGTCCCCCTCCCACGCCCCGTGTCCTGCCGGCGCGTCTGCTTCGGTCACCCCCCGGGGCCCCTCACACCTGCGTCCGTCTCTGCTCCTCCCGGGCCCTTCCCCGTCCCCGTCCCCGTGTGATGGGGGCCTGGCTTTGTGCCGGGCGTGCAGCGTCCCCACGGGCCTGTGTGAAGGTGGGTGGCGGGGAGGCGAGTGACCCTCCTTCCCTCGCAGGCGTGATAGAAAAACGAGACTCGCAGCCCCTGCTGAACATCTTGGATCTGATGGGCGGCTGGCCGGTGGCCATGGACAAGTGGAACGAGAGCGTAGGTAAGGCCGGGGCCTGCGGCAGCCTCGCTCAGCACACAGGTGTCACCGCCCGGGGCTCCCTGGAGCCGAGCCCTCCCGGGCTCAGGCTGGCGAGTTCACACCCGCCGCCGGTGGGCTCCCCAGCCCTGCAGAGGGCAACCCTTCCAGGCCCCTGGGGGGGGACTCACCTCCCAGACCCCGGGGCGTGGGGGCGGGGCACAGGGGCACCAGGTGCCCGGCCATCTCTGGCCCTGTTGTCCCGCAGCGGGTCCTCAGCGCCGGGGCCCACAGGTGTGCTTGCCACCACGATGTCCCCCGAGCTCTGGGGCTTAGGGGGCTGGGGTCCACTGTCCGACGAGGGCCTGGCCTGGGACCCCCGAGAGCGCAGCCGGTCTCCAGCGTGAGGCGCTGACCCCCCAGGCCCCAAGTGGGAACTGGAGCAGCAGCTGGCCCTGATGAACGCGCAGTTCAACAGGCGCGTCCTCATCGACCTGTTCATCTGGAACGACGACCAGAACTCCAGCCGGCACATCATCTACGTACGAGCCGCGCCGGGGGGCCGGGGTAGGCCGGGTCCCTGGTGCCTGGCTGGGGGCGCCCGCAGGGCCGTGGCCAGGGGGCGGGTGAGCCCCGGGGGCGTTCCCAGGGCCCTGCCCTTGTCCACGTCCCGCCCAGGGCACCGGCTGCCGGGGGACCGGGTCCCAGTCAGAGGAGCCGCCCGCATGCCGTCTGTCCAGGCCTCGGGCTCCGGGGCAGGAAAACTGACCTCAGAAAGCCACCGCCGGCCACAGCGAGCCCGCGCCACGCAGGGAGGGCGAGGGCGCCGTGAGGCCCTGCACGTGGCCCGCACCCCTTGGGTCACCTGGTCAGCGGACCCTGCAGCGCGTCCCCCGGGGCCCTCCAGCCGTCACTCGCAGAGCAGCACCGGGTCGCATCCCCCTTCCGGGTGGAGCCCACGTTCCCGCCGGGCGCAGTTCGGGGGGGGAGTCGAGAGAGCTGCTGTCCTCCCCAGCCAGGCTGTGGGGACCCCGGCTCGTTGCCCAGGGTCACACCCTCTGTGTCTCCAGATAGACCAGCCCACCTTGGGCATGCCGTCCCGAGAATACTATTTCGACGAAGGCAACAACCACAAGGTGAGTCCCACCGGCCCCGGCCCCTCAGGCACTTTGTTGCCCCCCCTCCCCGGCAGCTCTAGGGCGCCCCTGCGGCCGGCCTGCCCGTGGTCCCCTTGACCCCGCCCCCCACGGCTAGCCTTTGTGAATGCCTGCGGGGCGCTGAGAGCTGCGGACAAGCTAAGCACAGCCTTCGTCCTCACCGTCGAAGGGACCGTCCCTAAACACCACGTGCCACGTATGGAGACAGGCTCAGCTGAGCCGGTGGCCCCGAGGCCCACACCCTTCACCCCCGTCTCACCGGTGAGGACTGTGGTCCACACTGCCGGTCTACCGCGTAGGGCCCGTCGAGATCTGAACTCAGGCCACCTGAGCGCGGGGCTCTCGTAACCACTGGGTTCCTGGTCCAGGGAGGAGCGAGGCAAGGAGCAGACAGCGGCGAGCTGGGCCAGAGGGAAGAGCTGGGAGCCGGCTGTGGGAGGTGCAATTGTGAAATAGCCCTCGGCCAGGAAGCAGGATGGTGGGCCTCCTGGTGGAGGCGGGCTGTGAGCCGGGCCATGAAGGACGGTCCAGCCAGGGGCAGAGACGAGTGTGGCTGACAGAAGGAGCCACGGGTGGGCTAGCGGAGCGGAGACAGCCAGGCCAAGGGCGTCCACGGGCCTGACACCGGAGGTGTGGCCTCTGCGGACCCTGCCTGGGAGGAAAGCCCCTCCCAGGATGAGGCGCAAAGAAGGCAGGTCCAGGAAGGGCATCGACCCTCCGGACCCAGTGACTGACCCCCTGGCTGAGTCCAGCCTGGCTAAGGGCAGCCCACCCTGGACCCTGGCATCTGACAGCCCTGGCCGGCCCGGAGGCCTTTACGGGGCACCCGCTAGGCGCCCAGCCCTTTGTAGGCAACCACGGAGACAGAACAGGTCTCTCCGTCCCGTGCAAGCCCAGGGACGTGGGGGATGGGGCGGAAGCGTAGCCCCGAGCCGTCGGGGCGTGACCTCAGCGTGTGGCTCCCCACGCAGGTCCGGGGCAGCAGGCCACTCACGCGGAGCCCGCGGCCGCTGCACCGGCTTGTCCGCGAGTGCGAGTGGCGGCTGCGGCCCGGCCCGGGAGGGCGCGGACGGTCTGGAGCGCCCCATCCCGCCGCCCGCCGGCCGAGGTTGGCCCCCGGAGCATCCCGGGGGCCCGCTTCGTGTCCTACGCCCACCCCCGCCCCCACAGAGAGCTCCATGGGGGCCGCGGGGGCCGAGGCCGCCAGACCGAGTCCTGCCTCCCTCGGCCCAGGTGCGGGAAGCATACCTGCAGTTCATGGTGTCGGTGGCCGCGATGCTGCGGGCGGACATGAACCTCCCCGAGAACGGCTACCTGGTGCGGGAGGACATGGCGCAGGTGCTGGAGCTCGAGACGCAGCTGGCAAACGTGAGGCCGCGGGGCGGGGCGGGGGGGGGCGGGGGGGCGGGGTCCCGGCCGCCCCGCCCCCGGTGTGACCCCCCGGCCCCCGGTGCAGGCCACGGCCCCGCAGGAGGAGAGGCATGACGTCACCAGTCTGTACCACAGGATGGGCCTGGAGGAGCTCCAGAACAAGTTTGGCCTGAAGGCAAGTCCCCGCCCCACGACGGGCCCCGGCCCGGCCCCCGCCCCCCGCCCCCCGCCCGGCCCCGCCTCCGCGGGCCAAGCCGCAGAAACACGTCCATGGGCGCAGAGGTCACCCGGACAGGGACACTCTCGCACTGGGACGGCAGGTGCAGGCGGGCCGTCCAGGCACGCAGGGCCACCCCATCTGTGAGGTGGATACCGCGAGGACCCCGCTTTCCTGAGCAGGAGACAGGCCGGGAGGGGTCGACGACTCACCAGAGCGACCCTCGCCCCGGGCACTGCGTCCCTGGGGCCTGTTCTGAGCCCCTGCCTGACCCGGCCCCGCCCTGCCAGACCCTCAGGCCCGCCCTCCCTGCTGCCCAGGCCTGACCGCAGGGGGCTGGGGAGGAGCAGCCCAGGCCAGACAGAGGGGAGCCGGGTTTTGCACCCCACCCAACCCCAAACTCAGGTGGCCGGTACCCTGAGTCGCAGACTCGTCCGGGGCCTCCCCTCAGGAGGGACAGAAATGCAGTGGTAGCCAGGCCAGCCTTACAACCGAAGCCCGAGTCGGGGCAGAGGGCAGGGGTGGGACAGACGCTACAGCTCCTAACTCCTGACCAGAAAACACGAGGGTCTGGAGCCAGAGAACAAAGCAGGAGAACTCCAGAGACTCCTGCCCAGGGTTCATGGCACTTGGTGTTCCAGAAGGCTCTATGGCCCCTGGAGCCTGCCCTCTTCCTTGGCACCCGCTCCCAATGGTGATCTGCTTCGACCGGCCCCTCAACACAACCCAACAGCTGCCCCCCACCCCCACCCCCGCCACAGCGGGCACTGTGGGGGACGAGGCCCCCCTCTGGCTCGGGCTTCAGCAGTGAGCCAAGCGGGCAACCCCCGCCTCGTGTCTACACTGCAGCCCAGGCGGGGAGGCCTGCGTTCAGAGAGCAGGGAGGCGGTGGGACAACGCAGCCAGGAAGGGCTGCACTATGAAGCTGATGCAGGAGAGAAGTCTCGGGAGGAGGGACCGTCTGGGGTGTGTGGTCCAAACAAAGGGGCAGCCGGTCCTGAGGCAGGGGCTGCAGGGTGACTGGAGTCAGACGAGGCACCGGCGGTGAAGGGGTGGACGATGCCAGGCCTCCAGGGCACGTGAGAGGGCCTGGGGCACAGACTTGACTCACACTGAGGACCAGGCGGTGAACGCTGGCAGGTGGAGACGCTAGCCGACGTGGCGAGAGGGGTGGTTTCTGATCCACTTGGGAGATAGAGCCAGCAGGATCCGCAAACGTACTAACAGTGGGAAGAGGAGAGAGAGAAGAGAACGCCCACGGCCTGCAGGTGCCGTGCGGCGGAGATGGAGAAGAAGCTTGGGGGAACGTCCTAGAAGCCAGGCGTTGGGCTGTCTGCCGTAGAATGCGTTTATAACGCTTAGACTTGCCTCCGAGTGTGCACGTCCACACGGCCCGTCCCCAAGGCCCCCACCCCGACTTCTCCCTCCACAAGACGGGCCGTCGGACCCAGACAGTTCACTCACCTGCACTGGGTTGCCTTGTCCTACGTTTTGTAGGTGAGACAACATCTCACCGTCGCTACACCCCATCTCACCGGGCCAGCCGTGCTGACGGCCGCACAGTCAAGTTTGAGAACACGGCAGTTTGCGCCCCCGCTGCACTCTTTTTTTTTTTTTGGGTTGTTTTTTTTTTTTTTTACATTTAATTTATTTTTGATAGAGCGAGACAGAGCACAAGTGGGGGAGGGGCAGAGAGAGACGGAGACACAGAATCCGAAGCAGGCTCCGGGCTCCGAGCTGTCCGCACAGAGCCCGATGCGGGTTTCGAACCCACGAGCTGTGAGATCACGACCTGAGCTGAAGTCGGACGCTCAACCGACTGAGCCCCCCGGGCGCCCCAAGCCCTTCGGTTTCTGACACTGGCACGAAAGGTCTTACTGTGTGATGTATCTTCGGATTCTTTGTTGCGCCTGTGCAGAGGCTCTGACCTCGGACACGGCAGTTTTATTGCGCGCACACACTCATTCCAATATTCTCCGTATCTGCAGTTCCTTTCAGGTTTTATGCACGTGAAATCAGGCCCTTTGTGAACGATAAGTTTTATTTCTTCCCTTTCAAACCCTTACTGATTTTCTGTCATTTACTTGTCTCGTGGAGCTAGCAGGGACCCTCAGTCACGATAGTAGATGTCCCGTTTCCTCCCTCAGTTTTGACGTTTGCTGTGGGCGGTTTTGTTTTCGGGGTTGCTGCTGCTGTATGTGGATTCCCCTCACCAGACTGTTGAATTTACCTTCTAGCTCTAGTCCGCTAGGACTTCTTGTCATGAACAGACGGCAAAGTTCATTAAACGCCTTTCTTCCTGCATCCATTGAAATTACGATGTGATCGGGGCGCCTGGGTGGCTTAGTCGGTTAAGCGTCCGACTTCAGCTCAGGTCGCGATCTCACGGTTTGTGGGTTCGGGCCCCGCGTCGGGCTCTGTGCTGACAGCTCGGAGCCTGGATCCTGCTTCGGATTCTGTGTCTCCCTCTCTCTCTGCCCCTCCCCTGACTTCGGCTCAGGTCTTGATCTCACAGTTCATGGGTTCAAGCCCCATGTCCGGCTCTGGGCTGACAGCTCGGAGCCTGGAGCCTGCTTCGGATTCTGTGTCTTCTTCTCTCTCTGTTCCTCCCCCACTCACGCTCTGTCTCTCTCTCTCTCTCTCAAAAATAAACATTAAAAAAATTTTTTTAATAAAAAAAAGAAATTAGGATGTGATTATCCTGCTTTCTCTAGTTACCACCGTGAGTTACTTGATTCGATTTTCAAATTTTACACACCAAACTTGAATTCTTGAATAAATCAAATTTGGCTGTGATGTATTATCCATATTATGTAGGTGTGGATAAATCCTAATTGCTAATATTTTCCGTAGGATTTTTTTTTGTCTATGATCATAAACGACACTAGCCTGTTACCTTCTTTCCTTGTAATATCCTTATTTGGGGATTCAAGTTTTTCTTGGCCTCATAAATCAAATTGAGAAGATTTTTCTCTTCCTCTGTCCTCTGGAAAGTTGAGTAGGACTGGCAGTATGTCTTCCACAAATGTCAGATAGCATCCACGGGAAAAGGCAGATGGTTCTAGACATTTCCATGTGGGAATATTTCGAATGAAAGATCGATTTATTACCTATAAGACTATATTTCTACTGTTCTTATATTTATTAGATATATACTCTATAGATCGTATTGCTAAACTCTTTTCAGGAATCTTTCCATCACGTTCAAGTTTTCAAATACGTTGGCGTGATCTCTTTCCACAGTCTGTAGGCTCTGTGGTGATGTCACCCACCCTCACCCTGACTCTGATCATCTGTGCCTTCCCTCTGATTCCCCAGATATTCTCTGGTGGGGGCTGGGTTTCTTGGATGCCCACGAGCTGTGTCTACCTACCTGTCTGTTCTCTCCCTCTTTCTCCGCACGCCCGCCTTCCCAGGGGTTTAACTGGACCCTCTTCATACAATCTGTGCTGTCCTCTGTCAAAATCAAACTGCTGCCAGATGAGGAAGTCGTGGTGTATGGCATCCCCTACCTCCGGAACCTCGAAGACATCATCGATGTCTACTCAGCCAGGTGAGGCCCCGGGAAGGTCCCCAGAGGCCTCGGCATCTCGGCCTCTGCACCCCCCTCCCCACGTCTCCTCATGGGAGAGTACCCCAGGGAGCATCTTCTCTGGGCAGATAAATATTAGCGGCCGATAGAACCTTAGTGAGAGATGCGAGCCCTCCCTGGGACTTTTTGGGCATCTAGGAGCAGACAGGCTGTATCTGGAGGTTGTCCCAGAGGCTTTCTCCACCATCCTGCTTGGGGCGAGCGCCTGTTCGTCACAGAAGCCCAATCCCCACTCTGGACAAACTCCACATGCCTGTCATATGCCCCGCCCTCTGCCTCCTGCCCACAGGACCATGCAGAACTACCTGGCCTGGCGCCTGGTGCTGGACCGCATTAGTAGCCTGAGCCAGCGATTCAAGGATGCGCGAGCTAACTACCGTAAGGTGAGTGGGGCCCCACGCCGGTGGCTCCTACCCCTGGCCTGTCGTTTGTTCCCTTAGTTCATGGTGCTGGGCACCTGCTCTGGGCCAAACGCCAAGGTCCACGCCGGGGGCAGAGCCGTGCAAGAGGCTGACAACGCCTGCCCTCTTGGGACAGTCGCCAAACCGGAGAGCCACTCTTTCAAAGCAACAAGTGGGACATGACAGGAAGGTATGGGACAGAGATGGCCTTTCTGTGCGGGTGACACCGGAGACCTCCAGGCAAGAATGACCCAGACACGAAGAGGCTGGGGGCGGATTCCCAAGGCAGGACGCCCCCGGGCCACGTGGTGGGAAGGAAGGAGACGGGGTCGGGGAGAGAGGTGGGGGCCCGCAATCGTGGGACTGAGCCGAACGTGGATTCCACGTGCCTTGAAAGCCGCCAGGGTGTTCAGAGCGGGAACCACAGCCTAGCGTCCTGCTTGTGTGGTCATTCCGGCTGCTGGGGGTGGGGGTGCGGGCAGGGCAGAGGCAGGGGACCCACCGGGAAGGCCTGTGGTCACGGTGGCTGTTCCAAGGCCTCGATCAGAGGGGGCGTGGGGTCAGAGTGCAGACACACGTTGTCCGGGCGGGGTGACGGGTTGGACCAGGGCCTCAGGAGCAGACGCAAGTGTGGACAACAGACAGTCGAGGCACGAGCAGGGGGCTGAGGGGCAGGGGAGTCAGGCGGACCCCCAGGTTCTTCGCTAGAGAAATGGGACGGACAGAAGCCCTCCAGCGCATCAGGGAAGTTGGGGCAAGTCGGGGCGTCTGCCTTGGCGGGTTGGGTGGAGACACTACTGGCCAAGCGTCTCCACTCTGGTGATGGGAAAACCCGCTGGGGGCCGGAGAGCCGGTGGCTTAAGGCTGAGCTGGATGTGGCCCCCAGGGCCCCCAGAGTCAACACCAGCCTGTGCTTCAGTGGGGGGCTGGGGTCCAAGAGGTCAGAGTCGGGCTGGCCAGCCAGGCCAGGGCGGCGAGAACAGGGGGCAAGGTGGCCCTTGGGGCTGAGCAGGGTCCGACCCCTGTCCCGGGGCAGAGGCCAGGCTTCCAGCCCGGGTGGGGAGCCCTCCCCTGAAAAGCGCAGACGCCGTCCCGCCCACGCCCACGGCCGGCACTCCCCGGGGAGGTCAGAGTTCATCGGTGCCCCGCTCTGGCCGCTGGGCGCTCGGGCCGAGGACAGGGAGGCAGCAGTGCGTGAATGGGTGCCCTACGCGGCAGGTGCTCTACGGCACGACCGTGGAGGAGGTGCGCTGGCGAGAATGCGTCAGCTACGTCAACAGCAACATGGAGAGCGCCGTGGGCTCCCTCTACGTCAGGGAGGCCTTTCCCAGAGACAGCAAGGATGCGGTGGGTGCCCTGTGCTCAGTCTGTCTGTGGCCCCTCCCCACAGGGACGCTGCCCGTGGTGGGTGGGGGCACGGGTCACAGCCCCCCTCCCCCACAGGGTGACTCCGGGCTCCCAGTGCCGGGACCCTGCTGGCTCCCCAGCAGCCCGTGTGTGCCCAGGGGGTACCGGGGAGCACACGTTTGCCTGGTGCCCCGTCACGTGGGGAGGCCAGAAGCCCCACCCCCAACCCTACAGGCCTGTCTGGGAAAGGCCTACAGGCCATACAGGCTGTGAGTCCAGGGGCGGGCAGGCCCTAGGCTCACCCAGGAGAACGCCCCGCAGTCAGGACCCCTGTCCCGGAAGGGGGGGAGCATTCCACACCCCCAGCCCCAACGTCACGGCAGGGACGAGGCTTTGGACCGGACCCCTGCAGAGACCCCAATGCTGGACACGCAGGACGAGAGCCATGTGTCCCCCCAGGTCAGAGAGCTCATTGACAAGGTGCGGGCGGTGTTCGTGGAGACCCTGGATGAGCTGGGCTGGATGGACGAGGCATCCAAGGAGAAGGCCCAGGAGAAGGTGCGCAGGTGGCTGGAGCCCCACGGTCAGGGCATCCTGGCTGGAGAGGGCAGCCCCAGCACGGGGACACAGGGCGACCGTCGTCGCACCCGCTTCAGAGATGAAGACACTGGGTCTGGGTGTGGCTTGCTCAGAGGCGGAACTAGAAGCCAAGTGTGGGAGACCCTCCCGGCACCCTTGCGAACGAGTAGGGGTGGCCTCGGAGCAAGCCCCCTCTGGGCCAGGATGTCAAGTGGAAACCGTCCCACTGCACCCGGCCCCCGCCCCATCTGACCCCTGGCTGGCTGTGGGGCTGAGCCGGTCCTCACCTGTCCCCATTAAACCTCCCCATGGCTTGCAAGCAGGGGGGGGGGGGGGGTGGGGGGGGGGGGGGGGGTCGAGTCCCTCAGCCCCTGAGCCACGCGGCAGCGAGTGAGGGGCAGAGCCGGGGTTCCCACGGTGGGGCAGTCACCGACCGGCCCCGATGTCGTCCCTAGGCCATGAGCATCCGGGAGCAGATCGGGTACCCAGACTACATCCTGGAGGAGAGGAACAAGCACCTGGACGAGGAGTATTCCAACGTGCGCCCCACCCCCGGCCAAGGGGGCCCCGAGAACTTCACCTGCCCCCTCACCCCCGACCCGATCCGCCCCTGAACCAGCCCTGTGAACCACAAGCCTTCAACTCCCTGGCAGGTGGTGCCGTCTCGGCCACCTCGCTGGATGGGCAGCTCTCCAGAGTTCCCCGTTACAGATGGGGAAACTGAGGTCGGGAGGGAGAAGGAACGTGCTCCGTGGCACGAAGGCCCAGAGCCAGCACCGGCCCCCCAACCCCACCACCCGCACCCGCAGCCCGTCGGCCTCGTGCAGGACTGCCCAGCCAGTCCCAAGGCCGGTCCCCAGCCACTGCCGACCCCCCTGCCTGCACACCCGGCAGTGACCACCCCTGTCCCGTAGCTGAACTTCTCGGAGGACCAGTACTTTGAAAACGGTCTTCAGAACCTCAAGGCTGGTGCCCAGCGGAGCCTCAAGAAGCTTCGGGAGAAAGTGGACCAGAACCTGTGAGTGGCGGCACGCGGGAACCAGCGGGCCGGGAAGGGCGGCCGGGGTCTGACCCGGAGCCCCGGGTTCAGGGAGGATTCAGATCTGTGGATTGCCCAGACCCGGCCCTGGCTGCGGGCAATGCTGGTCTCGTGGCACAGCCACTGTGATGGGGGCCCTAAGGGTGGGGGCTCTGGTCAGCCGGGAGGGGACCTGGAGGAAAGGGTCCAGGAGACGGGCTCCGGGTGACCGGCCTGTCTATCACAGCTGGATCATCGGGGCGGCCGTGGTTAACGCATTCTACTCCCCAAACCGAAACCAGATAGGTACGTGTGACCCCTCCATGACTGAGCCCAGCCCTCCGGTGCCAGAGAAGAGCCCTCCCCTCCCTCCTGGGGGGCACCTCCAGCCTCTTCTCGGGAGGAGAGAACCTCTCCCCACCTGTAGGGACTTCACCCCTCTCCCCACCTGCTGGGAAGTTCCTCACCTTTGTCTGAGTGGTAGGGCCGGGTTTAGAGACTGGGGAGCAGACCCCAGTCCCGAGGGCAGCAGAGAATGAGGGGGGGCGGGAGAGCTTGGGTCTGCCGCATGCTGGCCCCGGCCTCTCACCTCCGGGCCCTGTATTCTCTGGTCTGTAACGTGAAGGGCGGAGGGGGGGTCACAGCCCTGCCCCCCCGGGCCGTGTGGTTTGATGCAGGAGCCCCAGGGGTGCCTGCCCAGGGCCTGGCCCGTGGGAGGGTCGTTCACGGACATGTCTCCACCCCTGTCTCCGGGCAGTATTCCCCGCTGGGATCCTGCAGCCCCCCTTCTTCAGCAAGGAGCAGCCACAGGCCTTGAACTTCGGGGGCATTGGGATGGTGATCGGGCATGAGATCACTCACGGCTTTGACGACAACGGTAGGGAAGCTGCGTGGGGGGTGGTCAGAGCTACACGGCCTCCTCCCCTCTCCACTGAGCAGCAGTCCCGGGAGGGGACCAGGGGACAGGGGGCCTCGGAGCTGTCCATCCAACCCCTTCACGATTTAGGTGGGGACACTGACACCCAGGCAGAGAGGACTTGCTGGGTTCCCAGGGGAGCTATGGTGGCAGAGAGGTCTTGAATGGCAGGCTCGGCCCCCGTCCGGCACCCTTGCTCTGGGCAGAGACATGGAGAAGAGGGTGTGAGGGCTCGCGGGCCAGATCCTGACTCCACCTAACGGGCCGCTCTTCCCTGGGCCCGTGAACCGGCGATAGTGACACTACCCCGGGCATTTCCGAAGCTCCAGGTCCTGGCCTGGCATCACCCCAGGGCAGCCAGCCTCCTCCGGCCCAGAGATGTGCTGACCCGATGTCCCCACCTCCCATCCCAGGGTGCGGCCCCTGCCTGCTCTAGTGGCCTGTGACCACGCACGGGGGCCCCAGCTGGCTTTCCCACAGGGCTTGACCATCGGGACCTTCTGAGGGCAGCCTCGTGGGCCCCAGGACCACGTGCTCCCCTTACCTGGGGCTCACAGAGTTTGGACATCACGGCGAGGGGCATTAAGCCACGGTGCCCCCGGGCCCCGAAACCCCAGGCTCTGACCTCGGGGGTGGGATGGTAGGCCACCAGAGCCCCCTCCCGGGCCTCAGCAGCCCGATGACCTTGTGCCAACCCTTCAGGGGCCCGTCCCCTGCCCCCATGAGCTCTAGATACTGGGGCTTCTGGGAGGACGTGCCGGTGAGGCCGGCACTGGGCAGGCAGGGCCACGAAGGCAGCCCCCTCTGCCCGCCAGGCCGGAACTTCGACAAGAACGGCAACATGCTCGATTGGTGGACCAACTTCTCAGCACAGCACTTCCAGGAGCAGTCGGAGTGCATGGTCCACCAGTACGGGAACTACTCCTGGGACCTGGCCGACCACCAAAACGTGAGCAGGCCATCAGCAGCGCCGCCACCGCCGGGGACCCGCTCCCCAGCCCCGGCCCCCGGGGGGTGCAGGGGAGCCCGGCCGCCCTACCGTCCCGCGTCCTGTGTGCAGGTGAACGGGTTCAGCACCCTCGGGGAAAACATCGCTGACAACGGAGGAGTGCGGCAGGCATATAAGGTGGGTCCAAGCAGGGTCCCCTCGAGGACGCAGGGGAACAGGTGCCTCGGTGAGGCGGGGACCGTGCCCTGCGCAGGCCGAGGCACCCCTGGAAGGAACCCTTCTCCATCTGTCCCGGAAAGCAGCTGTGCCCTGGGGGAGCCAGCCTGGCTGCGGGTGAATGGGCACCTGGCTGTGCTGCCCACATTTTACCCTGACCTTACCTGAGCCTTCGAACCCCAGGGGAGCCACTGACTCTCCCCCGGTAAGATAGTGGCGCTCACCACGTCCCCACCAGCCGTGGCATCGTCCCTGCACCTGCAGCCTGAGGCACCGGGCCTCGGAGCTCCTTCTAGGTGGGCGCTGCGTGGCAGTCTGAGCAGGGATCCTACCAGACGCGGGTACCCACCGCCCCCCCCCGCCCCCCAGCGCCCCCACCCCGGCCCCAGGGCCAGGGCCCAGCCACTGTAGCACGGAGATGAGCACCAGACCGTCAGGGCAGGAGCGCTGTCCCTGGGGTGCTCGAAGGGCCGTCAGGTGCTGAGGCAGGACCTCCGCCGGGAGCAGGGCCGTGGAGCCAGACCTCCATTCTGCCCGGACCCCAGGCCGGTGCTGACCCCAGGAGCAAGGAAGGACAGGCCCGGGCCCAGCACCTGTTTGGCGTCTGCAGGCTTACCTAAAGTGGATGGCAGACGGTGGCAAGGATAAGCAGCTGCCAGGGCTGGAACTGACCTACGACCAGCTTTTCTTCATCAACTATGCCCAGGTAGGAGCCACAGTCCCCACCCTGCCTGCTGCCTCAGCAGCCGGGCACCGGTTGCCCACCAGGTTTTTGGAAGGCCTCCACTGAGGGGTACTTCCAGGGCCATGCTGAGAGGGCAGGCCGGGCAGAAGCAGACTTGCCAGCCTGGAAGGCTTCCTGGAGGAAAAGAAAGCAGAGGATTGGAGCTGGGGGGCTTCAGGTGTAGCTGGGCCAGTTGGGGAGGGGAGGCTGGCTTCCCTCCCCCACCCAAGAAGGGACGGCCTGGGACAGGACAGGCGGGACTCCCTTGTGCCTAGAAAGACGTGAGAGCACACGCCTGTCCCTGCCCCCCTAGGCCCACCCCACCCCCGCCTGGATGCCCTCAGGGCCCCCCTGATTCCTGCGTCCCATCCCCCCAGGCCCGCCCCTCCCCCCCCACAGCCACGCCCCTCACGCCCCCACAGGTGTGGTGCGGGTCTTACCGGCCTGAGTTCGCCGTACAGTCTATCAAGACCGACGTCCACAGCCCCCTGAAGTACAGGCGAGTAGCCCCCTGCATCCGTGCGCGCCACCCCCATCCCGCCCCCCGCCCCCCGCCCCCGCCCCCCAGCGCCCACCCCCGGGGCCCAGGCCAGCTGGCTCAGGCCCCTGGCCGCCCGCAGGGTGCTGGGCTCGCTGCAGAACCTGGCGGCTTTCGCGGACGCCTTCCACTGTGCCCAGGGCACCCGCATGCACCCGCGGGAGCGATGCCGCGTCTGGTAGCCGTCGCCGGCCGCACTGTGGCCACGCCCACCCGCCGCGGCAGGCCAGGCAGCCCTCGCACGTGCAGCTGGAGCCACGGGCAAGGCCAAGGCGCACACGCTGCCGGCCCCGCGCGGGGCCTGGAGCGCAGCCGCGGCCCCAGCACCCAGGGCAAGCGGTGACTGCCCGGCGCCCTCCGTGCCTGCGGTGAGGGGCACGGTGCCCCAGCCCTGTAGACGCGTTTACCTGTCTGCACCCTCTCCAAACATCCCAGTCAGCTGTCCATGAGCTTCAGACTTGAGCTAAGTAAACGCTTCAAAGAAGCCATCTGCCTTGTCTGTTGGGCGGGGGGGGAGGGGGGTGGCCGAGCCCCTGTCTGTACGCGCAGCTGACTGTTGGGGGACAGCATCTGGCTGGGCGCTGACTGCTGGTGGCCTTGGGCAAAACAGAAGCCAGACAGGGAAACAGCAGGGCACCCTGCAGAGGGAGGGCCACGCCTGGTGAGCCCCCCAGGGTCTCTGTGCCAGGACGCCCCCAAACACTGGCCCTCAGGGACCGCCGGTTCAGATGGGAGGAGGGGCCACTGACTCAGGAGCTGGCTGAGGTCAGGAGGTGGACCGAGGGAACCGGGGAGCCATAGATCAGAATCTACGCTTCGGGTTTTATGTAACTAGAGGCCGGTGGCAGGGTTAAACCACAAAGGGACACTGTCACCTGCTCTGATGTTTTAAAGACCCCCGAGAGTAGTACCAAACCGGGCAGGGGGGGAAGGTGGGAGGAAGTTGGGAGGCCAGCTAGGAGGCCACTGTGGTCATCCTGGCCAATTCGAGGGGGGCGGGTAGAGGGGTGGTGCTGAGGTCATCTGAACGCACCCAGACCAAAGAGCCCCAGGCATGGTGGGCAGGGGCAGGTTTCCGCTCTGGACACTAGGTTCCAGGTGCCTGTCACATCCCCCCAAGGAATGGTGTAGGGGGGGTTGGGGGCGTGGCAGAGCTGGATGAACCAGCTGGGCCAGGCCAGCCACCCCAGTCGGGTGCAAATGACAGATCTCATCGGAGAAGGTCCTTCCAGCCGACTAGCCCCCTCCCTAAGCCTCACTGTCCACCGTGCCCAGCAGCTGCGGGGCAACATCGCCCTGGACACCCACCCAGAATGAGCTCTGACCTGACCATATCCTCATCTCCCGCACCCTGCAAGGTCCTCCAACCCCTGACCCTCCTGTGCCAAAGGCCTGAGGCCCTCGGGGAGGCTGCAGGGCCATTTCCTCCCCTCTGCCGGCCCCTCCCAAGGAAGCCTGCAGGCCCACGTCCCCTGTGAGGAGATCAGAGCCAATGAAGATAAACGCCACCCAGAAACGAGTTTAATGCTCATTGTCACAGAGGCCCAGGCAGAGTTGGGTGCCCCAGTCCAGAGATTCCAGAAAGATTCTTCACATCCAGCTCCCAGTGTTCAAGGCAGCAGACGCCTCCCAGGCCCTCGGAGGCCTTGGTCTTCACCTTGTGCACGCCCCCTCAGCACACTGTGGGCACAGCAGGGTCCCCGTCAGGCCAGCCGCACTCCCCAGAGTCCAAAGCAGCTGCTCCCACCCACCAGCAGTCTGGGGCCCAAGTGCTAGAAAACCCCCTCTATTCGGGACACAGGAGGTCAGCCACCAGGACCCCACTACCACTGGCTGTGGTCACCTTGGGCAAACTGCGACCCTCCCCAGGCTGAGAGGACGGGCAGCCCCCTGCCCTCTGGGGAGAGCCCTGCTGTGCCAGGCCGTCTGGCCACCCTTGCCCCTGGTTCCCCACTGTCCTCAGCCTGCTTCCCCCTGCACAGTGGGGTGACAGTGACATCCTGGGCTGCCACGAGCGCAGAAGTACGTCAACCCTGCAGGTGCAGCCTGGCACCTGGTCGTACCCAGCACTCAACCCAGGGGAGCTGCTGCCCTTAGCGGGCGGCGTGCTCCCCAGGCCCAAGCTCACCTGGGGCGCCTCGCTGGCACAGCCCTCCGCCGGGATGCCCAGGGCCTGCAAGATGCTCTCCCGGGGGACATAGTCTCCCGGAGACTTCTGGACGAAGTGCAGCAACACTCTGTCACCACCTACAGCGGTGGGGAGGCGGTCAGGATGCCCCTGCGTGCTGGGAGGAGGGAGACACCCCTCGCTGTCCGAGACCCCACCTGGTTACCCTGACAAGGGAGCCGTCCTGGCCGCAGCCCACCCAGCACAGAGAAGACTTGTCAAGGTCAGGAAGCCAGAGGAAGGGAGGCAGAGAGGGTCAGGACATGCCACCAAGTTCAGCCAGACCTTCCCAGCCCAGGATGTGACCTCGGCCCCCCATGCAACCAGGCATCGGCCTCTGACACCCCTTTCCCAGCCCACCTTTGGTGACCACCAGGAGCCCTCCACTCTGCAGCAAGTCCCCAGACAGGTTCCCCTGGATGCCAGCAGCTTTGGCCTGAAAGGAGGGAGGCAGGTCCGGGTCAGCCCTACAGGGAAGCCCCACCACCTCAAGTCCCACCCGTCCTTGGCCATCACAAACCTTGAGGGCCACATCGCGCACGGGCTTCCCCAGGGCGGCCGGCAGGATGCTCAGGCTGTTGTACCTGTGAAGACACAGCTGGCTAGTCCGGGCCCCGGCTCTTCAGCGAAGACTTGCCCAGCAATTCTATCCCCAGTCTCTACAAGATACACCCACCAGATTCTCACAAGCATCTCACCAGGGACTCGGGGCAGTGCTGGGGGGGGGGGGGCATGGGGCAGCCAGCCTGGGGGCCGGTAGGCCTGGGGCCCCGCACATTTGGGGAGTGTGGGCTGGACCCCCAGCTGGGTGAGCCCAGAGATCTGACTCAGCTGGGCACCACTAGTCAGGCCCAGCAGCCAGCCTACGACACAGGCACCCGAGGTGGCCGGAAAGGGGGTAGATCTTGGGTGAGAGGCCTAACCAACAGCCGTAACGGACACCCAGCACCCAAGAGAGAGTCCTTAGAAGGACCGACCGAGCAGTGGATGCCCCCAGAGCCTCATGCCCAGGAAGAGGGCAGCAGGGGGAAGAGGAATGAGAAGAGGCGGCTGCCCCGCCTGCTCACCGCTTGAAGCCCAGCTCCTTGTAGAAGCGCTTGCTCTCATCCAGGTAGAGCTCTGGAAAGCAGAAGCCACAGGTGTGCACTCCCCCCCCCCCCCCCCCCGCTCACCTGCCTGCATCCAGCCCCCCGCTCCCCTGGCTTGCCCACCCAGGACGTAGGAGCAGAGGACTGAGTGTCCCCACTGTTAGTGGAGGGGCAGAGGCCCAGAGGTGGCAGGAAAAGGGAGGCACGGGGCTGGCCTGGACTCTGCCACCGGGCCCAGGGCTCTGGGAGGGCATATCCTGAGTGCCAGGGAGAGGGGTCTAGCAGGGTGGGCTCCTGTCCCAGCCGTACTCCTTTAGGCTCCTGGGAAGGCGGGATCTTGCTGCCATCCAGTAGAGACCCTCGGGGATTCGAGGCCAGCATCACCGCTGGGCCCTGCCTCTGTCCAAGGTGGGAGGGACTTCGTGCCTGAGGGACACAAGTAGGGGCAACAGGTGGAGAGCCCCGGAGACATGACTGGAGCTCCAGGAGACAGAAGGGTCAGGCCTGGGCAAGGAGGGGATGGCCACTGCCCAGAGCTTGGGAAGGGGCTCGAGGTAGCTGGTGGGGCTACAGTGGGAGGAGGGGAGGGGGGCACAAGCACCTCCCGCGAAGTAGCCGCCTTCCAGGAACTCCTGCAGGCCCAGGGCCTCGGGCCCCACGCCCACCAGACGCACGCCGTGCTGGTCCAGTAGCCCCCTGAGGCTGCTGAGGTCCCGGGCGATCCAGCGACACACCGAGCAGCCGAAGCGCCGCAGGCCAGCCACCACGCACGCCTGCTCCAGCCACAGACTCCGCAGCTCCACTGCCTGCGCGGAGCGGGTGAGGGGCGCCGATGGACCACCTCCCACGCGCGTCCGTGCCCCAGCCCCGCACCGCGCAAGCCCGGACTGCGCCCCCAGCTCCACGACCCGAAGCCCGCTGCGCATGCCACTGCCAGGGCGCCCGGGCTGGTGCCAGGGGCCCACCCACCGCCCTGCGCTCGTCCGGCCTCACCTCCCCGGTCACCGCATGCCTCAGGACACACGCGCCCACGCGGGCAAGGTCCACCGCGCTCATGTCCACTTGCCACCGTGCTCTTCGGCTGCGCGCCAAGCTCCCAGCCTGCTTGGCCACGCCCCGCCCGTGCCCCGCCCGTGCCCCGCCCCCCTGTGGATTCTCGTCCTGGCCGCGCCCCCAGGTCACCTCTCCTCTGCCGGCCCCTCCCCCAGACGCCCGCTCCTCTGCCGGCCCCGCCCCCAGACGCCCGCTCCTCTGCCGGCCCCGCCCCCAGGCCGCCGCTCCTCTGCCGGCCCCGCCCCCAGGCCGCCTCTCCGCCACCGCCCACAGCAGCGGCCCGGGCCGCGCTTTGTCACTAGTTTTGCATATGCATAAGCCTGTCGGCCAATGGCGTCGCTGTGCTGGCTGCCGGAGAAGCTGGGCGGTTGGGCAGCGGACACGTGGTGCGCCTGCGCGCAGCGCTGCCCCACGTGGGGGCGGGCTCCGTTTTGCCCGGCCAGGTGCAGAGCCGGAGAGCGACCGGAGTCCCCTGATCCTAGGTCCCGAGTTTGGGGTCCGGGGCGGGCGGGAAGGCGGGAGCGCGAGCGGGACAGCGGCTACCTAGTGCCCGGTTTGCAGGGCAGGGTTAAGGTGAGTGCGGCGAGCACTCGAGTCCCGGCTCTGGGGCCCGGGCCTCGTCCTATAGGCCGAGGAGCCCAAGGGCTTAGCATTTACCCTTATCTTATTTCAGCCTTAAAATCCACGCGAATGCTTCGCTTTCTCAATTGGATATCTGCGTTGGCTTTAATTATAATGCTGGTAATTTCTTAAAGCAAAGTCTTCTTTTAGCCCCCAGACTTTGGGTAAAATAGACCTGAAAGAAGTAAGAGCAGTTTACTGCGTGCTTTGCGACTTTGTTTATTGCTCACCGCAGTCTTGTGACACCTGTGATCACCCGGTTTTACCGATAAAGGCCCGAGACATTGGCGTGAGAAATGAAGCCAAGACTTAACCCGGATAATGGGACACGCAGATCTGTCTGGGCCCCAGCCCTCAGCCTCACTCCCCAGGTCCCACAGAGAGCCCCTGGACCAGGCTGGAGACCTCGGAGTCTCCCAGGTTCGGGAGAGTCATTTAAGGCGTTAAATGTGTGGTAGGTGGTGTTAATCATCCTGCAGACTGTTTTGTTTAGTAAGCAATCAGGTAATTGGCAAGAGGCACTTTTACGGCAACAGAAAATAGAGTAGTGGTTAGAGCA